CAGATTACCATCTTCAGTGCAGTTACTTAGTTCACAGATATCAGTATATATAGTTAGCCAGGGTGAGAATCTTTCCAATTAACAGCTAGTTAATCTTCTGAAGATTCTCAGGATCATTGCCTTGCCCATCTTCTACATATAACTGTATTGCTTGACTTATTCATGTTTCCTAGCTCTTCTCCTTTCCCTCTCTTGATTAGTTAGTCCTTGAGATCCTTTCTTTTACTTGTATTATACCTTTCTATTTGTATTTCTTTTGAGTTCTTATACTACATGGTCATTTTTTAATCCCACACTTACTAGTTTAGTTCAAATCTTCTGTGTTCTCCATAATTTTTCCCTTGTCTTTAAAGTTCCTGGTTTGGGCAGTTTCTACTCAAAACTGTCAGTTTACATTTCATATATGTCAAAGTTATAATAAAAAAATAAGTGATGACACTTAGAACAAGACTTCAGAATGAGTGAGAAAGCCTACTTCTAAATCCCAGAATGGATAGCCATTGCACAACTAAATCAAAAATGTCTGAAGGGGAAAAATGGTTCTGTTGAGACATGCTTTCAATTTTCTGTGCTTTTGGAATAGTATAAATAAAAATCAATAGACCCCCAAAAAAAAAAACCCGCATCATTTGGATGCTTTGAAGATTGATAAGATATTCTAAATGGGCTTTCTCCTACGAATGTGGTAGATTCACGCTGGCAGGTAGAGGCTGAATTGCTCACATTGTGGTAAACCTGAGCTAGTTTACCTTGTGAGACTTTGTTAATTGTTAAAGTTCATTTTCCTGAATTGGGAACAAGTGTACACTGATTATCAGTTGTTAACATTATTTTCTCATTTCTTTGTAAGTTTTTAAGAAAATAAGTGATTTTTTTTTTAGGTGATTGACTCTTACTTGCTTGGTTTAAAGGCTCTAAAAATGTTGACCTTGGCTTTAATCTTGATCTTGGGGATTGATTACAAATTACCAATATCTAAACTGGTGACTCTAGGGGGCTGGGGAGATGGCTCAGTGGGATAAGTGCTTCCCTGGCAAGCGCAAGGGTCTAAGTTCAATCCCTGGTTCCGCAAAAAAAAAAATAATAATAATAATAATAATAAACTGGTGACTCTGACATTAAAATACCGCATTCACTCACACTTTATATCCCCCCCCCCTTCTTTCCTGCTTGCTGGGGGAGCCTGGGTTTTCTGACCTCACAGACTGACTTGCGTATGTGAGAGGCATGTGCACTCTGGCAGTCATTGGGGAGTGGACCTGGGGGCTGGCTGGCTGCGGTGGAGCTGCTCCTCCCCAGCATCTGAAGGGCCTTGGGTGTCCATGTAGCGGAGGGGAGTGAGACCACCCTTGGCCCTTCCGTGGTGTCTGGGACTTCAGACCCAGTGTCCCTGAGCCTGATCATTAAGTTGCAGTGTCCGCCATCCTCTTTCTCAGGTTTTTCAGGGTATGTTAGAAGGTCTAAAAAACTCAGCCACAGGCCCTTCAGAATAGTCCTATAGTAGAACTGTTCCCTAGGAGAACTAGTCTGCTTGAAGCTTGGTAGCAAAAATGTGATTGGTGAGTACTTTCTTCCTCTCCACCATCTTGATCTTCGGGGAAACATTGCTTTGTTTTGTTTTTGATAAAACACTTCATGACAATGTAAGCAAAGCTAACTTCCTTCCTAAAAACATTCTGCAGTTGCTTGATTAATGCTGTCCATATAGCTGGAGGCAAAGTGTGGTTCCTGTCAGATTTCCCTAATTTATTGCACTCTTGTAGTTCTTGCAAGACAGTCTATGTCTTGTTCCATTGACTGTTGAGCATCATAAAAATAAGAATGTCTGTATAGACTGAAGACCTTCCATCCTTGGTGTGGAGTAAGTACACTGTTCCACTGTATGAGCTGACAATATAGTCGAAGAATTCTGTGTGGAAAAAGCAGGTGTACTACCTCGTGGTAGAGCGGACCCTTGTCATATTTGTGGGGCAGGGAAAGCTCAGAGATCTGGAATCACCAAACTGGTCCCTACCACCAACCCCAATACTACACACACACACACACACACACACACACACACACACACGCCCTGTTATGTGTATGGCAGAATGGAAGGAATATTTGCACTGGACTGTTACAGTCTTGTGTTTACGAAATAGTAGGAATTTATCTCAAGAACTTCAGGTCACTGCAAGTATCCAAGTGAAGAATGTTTGCCATTCCCAGTACCCTGTGAATAAATACCACATGACAAAGAAATGGCCTAGAGCCTGGAAAAGGTAGAGGCCAGTGTCTACTCTAGAAAGTAGATGAGAAGGGATGAGTTTAACAGTACAGTTGGAGGGGAGGAGGTGTTGGAGTGGGGAGAGTGGCGGTAGTAAATACAGGCTCCTGTGGTCAGAGAAGAAAAATCTTTTTTTTTTTCCTGGAATCGGGGATTGAACTCAGGCCCTTGCGCTTGCCAGGGAAGCCCTTATTCTACTGAGCCATCACCCTGTCCTGAGAAGAAAAATCTTGCGGGTTGTGTGAGATCAAAGCGATGGAAGTCACAGGAGGCCAGGCTGAACCCTGGAGAAGCCTGAATTTTAGGCCCAGAAGGCTGAATGTTACAGATGTGATTTGGTGTCTTTGCCCCCAGAACTCCTGTGAAGGGAGGGTGAATGGCAGCCAGTCATCCAGGACTTTGTGATGTGTAAAGGCCAAGCTGTTGTAAAGCTCTGGTGTCTTTTGTATGAAATAAAATGAATACTGGTTGGAATAGCTAGAAATTCTGTGTTGGCAGTCCAAGGATGTTTATTTTTATGCTTTACACTGTTTACAAAGGTACATGATTATGAAAGGGAAGTCCTTCACAAATAAAAATCTGAATAAAATAGCCTATATTGGGTTTCTGGAAATAAAATATCCTAGCCCTTTAAGATTAGAGAATTTGATTTTTTTTTTTTCCCTTTCATGGGCTGTTTATTGACTTGGCATTCAGTTTAGCGAAGTCTCTGCAAGTGATCTCCACACTGAAGATGATATCTTAAGCCTGCATCTATGTTTTCCGGCTATTGGTCACCACTGAATGCTAGCTAAGAAGTCTGCCTTGTAGAGCAGAGCTAGAAGGACGAAAACCCAGGGTGTGTCTGTTACATAGCCCAAGCTGTCCTGGGCAGAATGGTAATGTGTTTGTGCCTCTGTGCTTGAGTGCAGCTTAGCCCTGAGCAGGATCATCCCAGCAGTAGGGCGCCTTGGACACACCCAGTGTACTGCCCAAGCTACGTCAGTTCCCTGCAGCTGTCAGAGGTTGATGAAGCCATGTATTCTTACTAAGCTGGAGAGTCACTCTCTCTCTGAAAGGGGGGAGTAAAAAAAAATGAATGCTGTTCCTCCATGCTTAACACATGGAACCACTTTTTATTATGCTGCTTCCGTATCATTTTTATAGACACAAATATGTGGTTTTATTTTCCTGCTTTAGAAAAACACATTGTACTCATTTTTCTGTGCTCCTTGGAGTGATTGCTTATGCTGCTTGAGTGCTTCCTAGATGGATGGGGAGAGAGATTTGCTTGGAGTTGACTGAATATCCAAGGTGGTAGTACAGTTTTTGACAAAGGTTTGTTATACTTTTAATGACCATTGTAGTGTGATTCTTAAGAGGTTGATATTTTTAAGTTCCTACTAGGTGGGTCTTTGGATTATGAGTAATAAAAATTTTCATTTGCATGTCATCTTGGGCTGTGGTTACTTTTGGCACCTGTCTTCTTTTCCCCCACTCCTTTTTTCTTGCCCTAAAACATTACCTAATGTGTAGGAAACATTTTTTTTTTCAGATTGGAATAGTTTTGAATGAGCAGGAGGCATAGGTTTTCAAAAGTCTTGGCATCTCTATAAATAATAGAGCACCTTATTTTTCTCCTATTTCTTTCACAAACAGCCTGGTTGTCTTTTAAAGCTGTGTCACTACATCAGCCTGATGTAGTGGGGACTCTGTTGTCCACTTAGAACTTATTTCTCCAGAAATATAACGCAGTGCTGCAGTGTGAATGGTTTGTTTGATAGGCAGTCAGAATATGAAGATAGTTGGACAACTTGGACTTTACAGTAATATACTTGTGGTTATTAGGGTTACGGAATGCCAGGCATGGTGGCACACACCTATAATCTCAGCACTTGGGAGGGTGAGACAGGAAAATCTCCATGAGTTCAAGGCCAAGCTAGGCTACATAATGAGTACAAGACCAGTCTGTACTACATAGTGAGACCCTTTGTCAAAAAGCCTAAAGGAGGGGCTGGTGAGATGGCTCGGGGCTGGTGAGATGGCTCAGTGGTCTAAAGCACCTGCTTAGAACAAGCTAAGCCAAGCAAAGCACAGGGACTTCAGTTCAATCCCCCAGCACCACATGCCAGCCCACCCGCCCCCTGGTGGGCTGAGCTGGCCACACACAAAATAAATAAATAAATAAATAAATATTTTTAAAAAAAAAAAGCCTAAAGGAAGTAAGTTACGGAGCATTGGACCAGTGAGATAGCTCAGCAGACTAAGTGCCCGCTATGGCAAGCACAGGAACTAGGGTTTGTTCCCTCATCCCACATGCTGCACAGGCCTCACCCACCTCTGGGGTGCACTGAACCAGCACCAGAGTCTCGGGTGTGGTGGCGCTTGCCAAAATCCCAGCACTGGGGAGGATGAAAACAGGAGGATCACTATGAATGCAAGCTGCGTAGTAAGATTCTGTACCAAATATATAAATGGAAAAAAAAAGTTATGGAGCATTAAATAGGAAAGATCCAAGTTGGCTTAAATGTTTTCCTCTATGGAATAAATAAGTGAATGGATAGATAGATTTGTTTCTGCTTTCTTCTGCAGATATAAGTATTAGACTCCTCATGTTTACCATTTATTCCAGATCAGGTAATAAAAAGCTAGGAGATTCCCTAGTAACTTGAGGACTAAGTTTACAGATAATGGTTGACACTTAGAAGGACAAGATACAAAAGACTAACTTTGTGTTTTCTTCAATCTGTTTCAGCAACTCTACCAGATCCTGACAGATTTTGATATTCGGTTTTATATGTATGAACTACTTAAAGTAAGTAGCATTCATAAACAGTGCACTTTTTTCAGGCTCATTCATTAGAACAAGTGTTTGAAAGGACAAAGAGAACACAACAAAATATTTTTCTGATGCCTAGAGTATTTGGTGGAGTTTACTTTATGTTGAGGCCTCCATTGTAGGATCTCACATGGAAATTTTCTGGTAGATTTGGGAAGGGTGGCCAAGTCAAGGGGTGCGAGGGTTTTTATGCCAAAGATTAGAAACTCGGAGCTCTGGGTTTTTTTTTTGTTTGTTTGTTTGTTTGTTTTTTTGCCACTATTACTTTTAGGGGCCAGCCAAATAGCTCAGTGGATTAAAGTACCTGCTTGGGCAGACGCAGGGGGCAAGGGTTCGATCCCTGGCCCCCTGGGGTGTGCTAGAGACAGAAACTGAGACTGGGCATGGTGGCATGCGCCTGGGAGGCTGACAAACAGAAGGATCACTATGAGTTTGATCTATGTAGTGAGACCCTGTACCAAATACATTAAAAAAGAAAAAGACTAATACTACTTTTAGTTTTCCATGTATAATAAATGCCCCCAGAGTTAATGACTCATTGATTTGTTGTTTCTCATGATTTCATGAGTTGGCTAGGTGATTCTTTAGATCCAGGCCAACTTGACCTTGACAGGATGGTCCAAGAGGGCCTCATTTACATATCTTAAACCTAACCTGGGATGGCTGTGTTCTTAGCTTCCAGGAGGTTAGTCCAGGCTACTTCCCATGATGCTTTTAGGTTCTTAGTATCAAGATGGGTACTTTTCAACCCTCTCTCTATGTCATTTTGCCAGTGCACCGTTGGCAAAGCAAGTCATACAAAGAAGCCTGGCCTCCACAGAATATAAAAATACTTATCAGTTCTTGATAGCAAAGTCTCATGTATGGGAATAGCAGATGTTTATAGGCCCCTCACCCCTTTATTTTGATCTTTCAAAATCTCCCTTTTTTTAAGTCAGTCATTTATTTGGTATAGTGTCCCACTATGCAGCTTGGACTCACAGTGATTCTCCCGTCTCAGCCTTCCCAGCGCTGGGATTACGGGCATGTGCCACCATCCCTGGTTTTGGTGGCCTGCATGCGGTACCAGGGCTTGAACCCAGGTCCTTGCACTTGCCAGGCAGGTGGTTAGGCCCCTAAGCTATTGAGACTACCTACTCTTTCCCTCTAGCCACAACTACTATAGTTAATGTAGGAGAACTAGTAAATAGACCTAAGTGACCTCCTAATCCTAAAGCACTATAAAATTGTGAAACATTTGTGAGTATGGAGGAATGATCTTATTTAAGTCTGTCTAGGCATAAAAATGAAAGAATTCTAAATAGATTTATAAAATGGTATATATCAGTGGGTTCTAGTTTTTTAGGGTCATGGATCACTGGAAACCCAATGAAGTTATGAACTCCACCCAAAGTGCATGTGTAAATGTACAGTATTGCGTAGGGGTTTTTTTTGTTTTTGTTTTTTTTTGGGGGGGGGGCTCGGATCTCAGGTTTAAAATGTCTAAACTAAGATATAGGTGAAAGAATCATTAGTAACGGAAATTGCCCAGATGGGGTTTTTATAGGGCTTTGAAAAGTTGCTTCAACAAAATAACAAATTGAATGAAGGCTGGACTTTAGAAAATGGGAATGTAAAGAACTAGCACTCCAAGGTGAATGTTTTCTCATGTGAGCACCTGCACAAACCACATCATTAGAGAAGCCAGGGTTGTAGGTTTAAGGACTCACTCTATGTTTCCTGGGTCTTGTCAGTAAGATCAGAAAGACGAAGGAAATGGAACTGGACTGGACCCACCTTTCTCCTTTGCTCTCTGAGCTACAGTTGAAGCCTGTGAACTTTTTTCAATCTTTCTGGGAAATTCCATGCTGCTAGGCATGGTGGTGCATGTCTATAATCCTAGCACTCCAGAGTCTGATGTGAGTTTGAGGCCAGCCTGAGCTACATTGTAAGTTTAAGGCCAACCTGAGTTACATGGCAACACCCTGACTCAAAAAAAAAAAAAGTACAGAAAACTCCATGCAATAACCCCATGAGAGCTAAGTCCAGCTTTGAGATTTTGCAGTTATTAGCTAGCTAAATTTTTTATAGCCTGGCATGTTCATCCTTCAGTAAAGATGTCTCTGTAATGTAGATCTGTATGAGCTGGTTATGCAGATGTCATTCACTGCCTGGTATCCATCCTGCTTCCTAGTGGTAGCAATAAGCAGAAAGAACATATTTCTTCCTGCTAATGAGGCTTCTTAGAATCCAGATGAAATAGGAAAAATGTTTTTCATGCTTAATGGTCAGAAACTATCAGATGTTAAAGCTGAAATCACCAAAGAATTTAAAATCATGTCAGTAACTCCACAAGGGATCTGGCCAGTGAACTCAGCAAAAAGAATGCACTTCCTTACAGCATTTGCTCAGACTTTGCTTTCACCAGGTATTTTTCATGTCCCAATCATTGTGGTTCTAATTAGTTTGTTCTTCTGGCAAAGACTAGACAAAAAGCAGAATCAACACTGTTAAATTTTCTCTTTGGAGAAAAAAAGAGTTGAGAAGAGGAAATACTTAACTTTATTAAAAATATGGAAGCAGCCAAGGCTAAGGGCCCCCATGGTACTCCTCAGTGACTCCCAAAGACTTTATGGCAGAGCAGTCTGATTCAGATTTGAGGAAGTGTGCCCTCACATCCTTTGTTTCATAAGGTACTGTCACAAAGGCACTTTGGAATCTTGCTGCAACTGTTACAAAATGAAGTGAGTGAATCTTAAGTGTACATAATTTTGGATTTTATATATCTAAAACCTTTGCTGATATGTGTACATAGAACTGCATTGTCCAACATAGCAGCTGATTCCAGTGGAAGCTGTTTTAACTAAATATAGTTAAGAATTTAGTTCTTTAGTCACAGTGGTCACATTTCAAGTGATCAGTGGTCTTATGTGGCTGATGATCACCGTGTTGTGCACTGCAAATATGGATTTTTTTGCCTTGCTGCAGAACATTCAGTTGAACAGGGCCAGGAGAGTGTGATGAAGATCCAGGAGTGTTTTTTTTGTGCACCCTCTCTTCAATATTTGCTCCTCCAGAAATTATATCCTTATCATCCTCCCATAGTTTAGAATTGGTTGTTCAATACTTTCAAATAAAAAGCATCATATGTTGTAAGTTGTTTGGTGTCTGGGAAAAACAAAATGACACAGAGCACAGGAGCTTAGTCCTGGAGTGCTGCACCTAGAAATCATTCTCTGGCTTGTGTATTCCTTCAGTGTAAAAATGCTTAGTACAGTGTTCTTCCTGTTCTAGTTCAGTTCTAGTGCAGGTTTCCCAAATAAAGTCAAACTCGTTCCTCAGAAGACAAGCATTTGACAGTACCTGCAACCATTTTTGTTGTTATAACTGGAGGGCACTGCTGGTATGTGGTGAGTGGAGGTCAGGGACTCTGCTAAGTAGCCCCCAGCACATATACTCCCATACGAAGTATTTCTGGGCCAGCAGTGCCATGGCTATAGAAACTTCTACCAGGACGCTCAGTGGTGCACGTGTAGTAAGCTCCACGCGATTAGAGCTGCTATCATTGCTTGAGTATATCATCAGTCTCGTGAAGCTTTCAAGTGCTTCTCAAAACAACAAAATGTCCTAACTTTGAAATTAATGCAAGTAGTTGTATGAGGAAGGGATTTTAACAGATTTTCATACTTAAAAAAAGCTCAAATACAGTAAAAAAAAAAAATGGTAATAAATCAACATTTCTCCAAAAGCAATATAGACTGTACAATAAGCACAGGAAAAGATGTTCAGCTTCATCCCTTTAGAAACAGAAATTAGAAACACGATGATGAAATACCACTTCACACCACTAGATTACATATAATCAAAAAAATGAACAATAACAGGTGTGTTAATGAGAATGTGGAAAAACTGGAAACCTCAGGTGGTTCTTTAAAAAAAAACTAAGCAAACAGCCCAGCACCTATGCTGCCAGGAATCTAACCAAGAGAAATGAAGCATATATCCTTCAAAATTGGCCCTTGAATTTTTATAACAGCATTGTTCTTAAAAGCCAAAAGCAAAATTAACCCAAATGTTATATACAGCTGGAATATTGAATATATAAAATGGAATGCTACTTGTATGAAAAAAGCAGCATGGATGAATCTCAAAAATATGCTGAATGAGCTGGTGAGATGGCTTGGCGATCTAAGCACCTGCCTGGCAAGTGCAAGGACCTGGGTTTGGTCCCTGGTACCGCATGCCACACCCACCCCACTCCAAGCCATCCACTGAAACCGGGCGTGGTGGTGCATGCCTGTAATCCTAACACTGGGAGGCTGAGACAAGAGGATCACTAGGGGTCTGAACTGTGTAGTGAGACCTTGTATCAAATAAATAAGTTTATAGAGAATGCTGAATGAAAGAAAATAGAAGTACTGTACCTATATGATGTCATTTCAGGAATGTCCAGAAATTATAGTAGCACATAACAAATCAGTGGTTGGAAATGATTGGAAGCAGGGAGTGAGTATAGATAAATTCAAGGGAAGTTTGGGAGGTGATGGAAAAGTTCAGATAGTAGAGTAGTGGGTTAAGTAGCTGTCTAAATTAGCTAAAGATCTTTAACTTTCATACTTAAAAATCTTACCTGCATATTGATTAGCCTATGAAAAGTGAATTTCGTCCCATAGAGCAATAATGACACTTTCTATTTTTCGTACTGGGAATCAAACTCAGGACCTTGTACTTGCCAGGTAAGTGCTTGTGCCTCTGAGCTACATCCCCAGCAGTAATACTTCCTAAAGGCCACTTGACTCAGGAATTATATTTAAGGAAAATAGTAATACTTTTTAATCTGCAAAACCTGCAGGGCTCACTTGTCTAAAAAAAAAAAGTAATGTTGAAAGGTGTATTTGAATGTCATTCTTCATATCCACATAGATTCTGGCTTGTCCTTTGAATCGTGAGAGGTTCCTCCAGTGAGGGCCTCACATCTAGTAGCCCTCCACTGCCGCCTTTCTACCAGCTGCCCAGCATGGTATATATGGAGAGCAAGGGGTACTTTCCAAAACATTTCCCCCCACTTACTGGCACTGATCTCCCCCTTGAGAGACTGCATTCAAGTCAAGGTTTCACAAATAGTAAGAATCGTTGGGCCACACAGATAGCTCAGCAGTTTAAGCGCCTCCCTGGCAAGTGCTAGGACCCGGGTTCAATCCCTGGTACTGCATGCTGTGCCAGCACATTGGCAGCCACAGAAATCAGGTGTGATGGTACACGCCTGTAATCCCAGTGCTGGGGAGGCTAAGACAGAAGCATCACTACGAGTTTGAGCTGCATAGTGAGTCCCTGTACCAAATGCATAAAGAAAAAAAGAATTGCTTGTGTTGAAGGGTGATAGAGTGTTTTCTTATGCTTCTCTATGCTTTCTTATCTACTAGGCTCTGGATTACTGCCACAGCAAGGGAATCATGCACAGGGATGTGAAACCTCACAATGTCATGATAGATCACCAACAAAAAAAGGTACCGTTACTGCCAGGCAGCAATAAGCCTTTGTCAAAGTAGTTTCTGAACACCATGCTGTTTCCTTTGGCAGATTTGTTACTATTCCCCAGACTCCAGTGTTGGTTTTTGTAAAGAAAATGGACAGACAACCCCACCTGTAGTCACTTGTTTTATTTTGATCTTCATTTTCCCAAGGGCCTCAGAAAGAAACTAGAGCTAGTGGTTTCTGCTTCACTTAATGACCCTCACACCAATCTGCCTGGCCTTAAAAGTTCAGTTGGGTCCTTCCTAATTTTGCTATCCTACTCTGGTTGTCCCTAATTGGTGAGTAAATGGATCCACCAGTATTAGGTTAGTGACGAACTAGACCAATTCTTTAGTCCTAGAGTGGGATATGTGTCCCTAGCCCTTTTTAGTTACACCTGGCTCTTATAATAAAAACAGTAATGGGGGAATATGTTACACTTGGAAATAGTATGAAGGCAGAACAAAAAAGGCTGCACTTTATTGGTATAGAGAGAGTGATAAGCCAAGATAATTCAAATTAAAAAACAAGTTCTGAGTGCTCTGCTCCAGAAATGGCCTCTGATGCAGTTGCTGGAGTATGATTTTTTAGCCAGTGCACCTGCTCCCATTTTGTATTTGGCCATATGTGATTGTTACCAGAATTGTGATGTGGCCTTTCCTAGGCAGAGGAATTGGAAACACTCCTTTCACCTTTGTGTGTATGTGTGTGTTTTTTTTCTTCATACTTATAGCTGCGCCTGATAGATTGGGGCTTGGCAGAGTTCTATCATCCTGCTCAGGAGTACAATGTTCGCGTAGCTTCGAGGTACTTCAAGGGACCAGAGCTCCTTGTGGACTATCAGGTGAACTTGGTAGAAAAGGTGTTCTGGATTATTTGTATACATCTTGGTGTGCTGCTTATTTAGTTTGGGTACATCATTCTACCTCAAAATACTAATTGCAGATTTTTCTCAGCTACTTTCTTTTGGTGGGAAGGGTGACTTATAATTCTAAAATATCTGCAGAGGTCAAATGAAGGCTAGAAACTCAAAAAAGAAAAATGGGTTTCTGGTCTTCGGATAGTCATGGAGCCCTTGCTAGCATGTACCCTAACCTGGATTTGATCCCAAGCACCGCAGAAAAAGAAAACTGGGCTTTTAACACGCTTGACTGAGTCCCTTGTCTCTCCAGATGTATGATTACAGCTTGGACATGTGGAGTTTAGGCTGTATGTTAGCAAGCATGATCTTTCGCAAGGAACCCTTTTTCCATGGGCAAGACAACTATGACCAGGTGAGCGCATACGATCTAGCTCTTATTTGGAGATGATTGCCAAGAAAATAGCAAGTTTAGAAAGGCATACTCTCTTCTTTAGCCACGAAATGTTGCTTATTGTCTGTACATAAGCTTTTCTTTAAGGAAAACATTTTTGCAGAATTTTGTCTGTGGTCATGAGATCCCTAAAGATACAGAAATAATAATACTATGTATGCTCACCTTAAGCTCTTCCTTGTCTAATAAAACTAAATTCTGATCATTAGATTGTGACCCTAATTGTTAGCTTCCAGATTATTGTCCTACTTAGGTCATCCCATTAAAGGCACTTTGAAGTGTTTCATTCATGAGAATCTCGGTGTTCTGGAATGCCTTTCCCTGTCCTGGACTTGGTTCTCTCTCTCATCCCAGGAGACTGAATAGTGTGGAGTCTTCTGATTTCCCTGGTCCAGCAGCCTCAGGCTCACAATGACTTCTGTGCTCAGTAATTTGGTCAGTTTGTTCTGTGTTTCAGCTTGTTCGCATTGCCAAGGTTCTGGGTACAGATGAGCTGTATGGCTATCTGAAGAAATACCACATAGATCTAGATCCACACTTCAACGATATCTTGGGACAGTAAGTAAGAGGGAATGAGGGCTTTGCTTTACCTCATGTGGGAAGCTTAGCCAAAATCATGTTCCTGACTCTTTCTAGTCATACCAAATTGAAGTATCCTTTTTTTCTTTTCTTTTTTTTTTTTTTTTAGTATCCTTTTTTTCTATGTGATTTTTTTTAACTTATTGTGAGATATTTAGGTATTATTTACATGTGTCCTCTAGTCATTTTATTTCTGTCTGAAGTAACCTATTTTGATCGTAGACAGTGGAAAACAAAATCAAAGGGCCAGCTAGATTTAGCTTAGTGGACTAAGAGCCTGCGTAGGCAAGCATAGGGACCTGGGTTTGATCCTTGGCACCACATGCCATGCCAGCACCACCCCCCCCCCCCGGCACACTGAGCTGCCCACGGAGATCAGGCGTGGTGGCACACAACTATAATCCCGGCACCAGGGACGCTGAAAATCACTACGAGTCTGAGCTGCCTAATGAAACCCTGTGCCAAATACATCTTTAAAAAGAAGAAAGAAAAAAAAATAGGTATAGCATGTACTTACTTTAATGGCAAATCTTGGAAAGTTGTAGTTCTTTCAGTATGAAATTAACAGTTTCTTTTTCTCTAGTAGATCATTATACGGTAACAAGTATTAAGGTAAATTGAATTTTCAGGCACAGTTCAGTAGGTTTAAAGCAATGCTTGGGGCCAGGGAGATGGCTCAGTAGAATAAGCTCTTGTCTGGCAAGCACAAGGGCCTGAGTTCAATCCCCAGTTCCACAAAAAAAAAAAACAAAAACAAAACAAAACAAAACAAAAAACAAATAAAGCAATGCTTGGCTGACAGTTTTCAAATGTTATACGAAACCACCATGTTTCTGAGGCCAGCCCTCCTAGTGTATCTGCTGACCAACAAAAATTACTCAGTCACCACCATGCCTCACCCATAATTGACAGAAAGCCGGAGGCATTAAAAAATAATCCAGAAAGATACCCCAAATTCTAAGTCAGATACAGGTGTCTTAACTAATTCTGCTTAGCTAGTCAAGAGTACAGTTGTTCCCCTCAGGATACTGTAGCAATGAGGGGTAGGGTGCACACCAGTGAGAATGACACTTACTGAGCTTATCATCAGTACAGCATTATTTTCTTTTCTAAAATTGTGTTGACTTTGGCCCTAATTACATTTAGTCTCAGAATATTAATGCTTCACTTTCTTCTCAGGCATTCAAGGAAACGCTGGGAAAACTTCATCCATAGTGAGAACAGACACCTTGTCAGCCCTGAGGCCCTAGACCTTCTGGACAAACTTCTGCGATACGACCATCAACAGAGACTGACTGCCAAAGAGGCTATGGAGCACCCGTACTTCTGTGAGTCTCAGCGCTGCTTTCAAGGACTGTATCTATTATAGGAGAGGAAATCATCCGCCCTTCATCTTTCAAGCTAGTCAAGAGAATTCTGGGTATTTGGAGAGGATCATTCTTGAATTTGCCTGTTTATTCTAAAGCATTGAGATGAGTTTCTTTTCTTTTTTTTTTTTTTTTTTTGCCCATTTTTAAAATTTTTTTTTAATTTTTATTTTATTTTTCCCCATAATTTTATTGAGAAACAAATAGCAATGAGATAGTTTCAAACCAAATTGGTAGGACAGTTTCAATAATTAACACATTGCATACTGTCTTCCTAGTGGTTAATTGCTATACAAGATGCGGACATGATATCCTGTTTACAAACACTATTAGATTTTTTTCTCTTTATTGAGAATCAAACTCAGAAACATTCTGCCACTTAGCTACCTCCTCAGCCCTGTTTATTTTTTCTTTTAACTTTAAGAAAATGTCTGTGAATTGTCCACACAGACCTCAGACTCATAGCCCTCCTACTTTAGCCTCCCAAATAACTGGGGTGACAGATGTGTACCACTGTACCCGGGGCAAAGCAGTTTCTTGATCACCAAAGGTGTTGCTTATTCACCTAGTGTAACACTTTTGGATTCAGTCACCCCAGCCCATAGATCATGAGAATTTAAGATGTGTTTTCATATATATGTATTTGTGTGGGAACATAGTCTATTTCTCCTTTCAAAAAAACAAAGCTAATGGGCTAAAAATAGTAAGATAACCATGGTATTTTTCTAAAGAAGGCAGTAAATAAGTAAGAGTTATTTGAGAGCAGTGGGATTCATTTGGACCACTTACTACATTTCAGAAATGTATGTGTGTATTTAGTCAGGGTGCTTGGTTGTGGTTCTTTGTACATATAGTTCTTCCCACCAAAAAAGGATGTTTCATATATGCTTTTCTGCTACGTGAGAAGATTTAATTCAGTCAGAGAGGAAGCTGGAAAATAGGGAGCTACATTCCCTTCTGTTTGGGCAGTGTGCTTTTGTCATCCTGTCCCTTCCTCTCAAGTCTAAGTCTTGCCTGAAGATAACATTGCTTGGGCTTGGGGCAACAGCATGAGGAGACAGCCTGTGTGGAAGGTCTTACTTTTCCTTTTGGACCCTAAACAAGTGAAACTCCTTTTTCTACTTTATTATACAGAAAGCTTTTCTTATCCTTCAGAATAAATCAGATTAAAAATACCGATGTTTATTGTATGTGCTTTATGGTCTGACTACTTTTCTGAATACCTAGCACAATTCAATTAAAAAATTTTTGTTGCCTAAAATTGATAAGCTTCTCTTGACTGGTCTCATTCACCTTTTCCTCTGAAGTGCTTATTGTTGCATCTGCTTGAAAGAAATTAGGGATTGGATGTGGTGCTGATATTCGAGAAAATAACACATAAAATTCGTGGGAATTATAAGCAGTGGACAGTAAAGTTTTCTGTGCATCTCGGGCAGTTGAGTCTGCTCTGTGGAAGGAGAGCTGACTACAAGAACAATTTCTTTGGCCTTTTTCTAGTGTCTAGTTTTTATATGACCTGCACTCTGTATTTTCTGTTCTCCTCTGTTGCCCCTTGACACTGGCTTGCTGAGCCTGGCAGGGTGGGTTGGTCTTGGTGATCTGTACCCACAGCTCTGACGTGGCAACTCTCACCCTGCCTCTTGCAGACCCCGTAGTGAAGGAACAGTCCCAGCCTTGCGCAGAGAATGCTGTACTTTCCAGTGGTCTCACAGCAGCGCGATGAAGACTGGAAGGCGACGGGTAATGCGGCATTGATGCTTGCCAATAAAACCAACCACCAAACACAAATCTTGAAGGAAACTACAGTGTGATAAAGAGAAATTCTAATCATTCCTTCTAAGGCAAGAAGAGTAAAGACATAAAAGTCTGTCAAAAGAAACTCCCCAGTACTAGTCTCCAGGGAGCTGCAGTTGTGCAGTGTGATGATGCATATAGTTCAGGATCTGAGGGGACTCTCCCTTTGGAATGCATGGGAGATGAGAAACTCGGAGTTGTTGTACATTTTTCTTCGTTTAACAGGACACCTCTGTTGAATAACGCGTTCGGTCAACAAGCTCTGAATATCTGACTTCCTATCTATTCCATTGTGGTCTGGTTTCCTTTGATGAGAATTCAGTCTCAAGTTTTAGCAAAATGTCAGCAATCTGTATTGACACACCAGCCTCATTTATGAAAAAAGATATTAAAACAGTGACAGTATTTTTTTTTTTAAGCTCTTTTACAAATTCATGTTCTATGTATTTTTTTATGACATGAGCTCTCCAGGAAATGTACCTCATCCCTGCAGTTTCCCTCTAAGTGTTTTCTTTTGGAAGCAAACTGCAGTCACTTTCACAGTCCTCTTTGCTGTCAGGAGCCATCACGTGAAACCATGAGATGCCATGAACAGGTCCATCGGTCTCATCAGAAAGTCCTTGCTATGTGCACAACTTGGAGCTCACTATAACCTCTGTTGATTTGCTTAACTACAGAACTTGTTGGGTTTTTTTCATTTAGCCTATTTTTGGAGGGAAGGGGCAGCCTTTTAAGGAAAACCTCAGCATTTCCCAGCACATCCCTGTGTGTGCACCTGTTCTAATGCACCTCTCTGAAACAGTGACCTTTTTGTTCACAACCATAACTAAAGCTGGCAAGTCAGTTTTCAGGCTGGTGGAAGAGGGAAAAAGCATCCTGTTAGGATTCGTTCTGGAAAGATTTACTTGGGGGAAAAGTATCACTGCCTGTATTCCCTTTTTACACCCATGATAATTTCTGATATAATCAGGGTAATAAGCATTTTGAGCTCTGCTATGTGACATATAAGAAGGGACAGATAAGTCATTTCTCAAATGCAAGTACTGAGTATGGGCAAGGCCATCTCATAGCTCCAGCAGTTAGGAGAGAAACGAGACAAGAGAAATATGCAGGGATTGGTGATAAAGGTAAACCTCCGAGGGCAAGTGTGACAGCCTTGGATCTGCTGTGCTAAACTTGACATTAGCAAAAAAAGCTAGATTTTATTTTAAAAGACAGAATAGGGCTAATTTCATTTTTGGGACTTGTCAACAACATGATTTGCTATTAGTCTCCTTTTCCCCAGTTACAGAGTGATTGCTTCAGCTCGGGGGACCTAACATACCTAAGGCTAGAGCTAGAGGAGTCTACCACCATATCACACTTAGGATTTCTTTATTCACTATTTAATAATGCCATGCATTTTTTTTTTAAAGATTAGAATGTTTGTTTGAAGCATCTGTTTACATTCCATACTCTAATAAAATCATATTGGTATTGGTAGTAGGTCCTATCTTTAAATATAGATTCTATTTTTATGGTTTGGTTGGTTGAAACTTAAAATGCAAATGAAATTCTTCTTGTAGAGTTGAATTTATGGATTAAGATCCTAAAGCCAGGAAATACATTCAGTTAAGGTTCTCATACTAATACTGCCTACCTGCATTGCACATTCTGTATCTTGATATGTACATTTGTTCTACCTGAAAATCAAAAATATGTGAATTGTCAGCCAAACCTGTATCAGTATGTCAGGCAGCAAAACTCAGTGTTTTGGATTATCACATGCCTTCAAAATGCCCTTAAGGCAGCCTGAAGTATTGATTATCAGGGAGATGTGCCACTGTGTCTTTCTTGTATCCCAGCCCCCAAGCCCATTCTTCTTTGAATTTATGTATTTGGTACAGGGTCTCACTATGCAGCTCGGACTTGTAGTGATCCTCCTGTTTTCAGCCTCCCCAGTGCTCACATTACAGGCGTGTGCCACCAGGCACAGGACTCTGTTGGCTGGCTCAGCATGCCCTGGGGGCAGGGCCAGCATGGCATGTGATAGCGGCATGTGGTACTGGAGATCAAACCCGAGTTCCTGAGCTTGCCTAAGCAGGTGCTTAGTCCGCTGAGCTATCTCTCTCCCCCCCGCCCAGCCCTCTCTTGCCTCTTCCCTTCTGTCTTTTGTTTTGCTTGCTTTCTTATGCCTGTCTGATCTACTGGAATGTCTTAGTTAAGCAGTAACCCCACTTCTTTCCCTTGGGTACTCCAGCGGCAATAAAAGCATCTAGAAAAGTCAGGCAGTAAGCCTTCACCCCTCTTTGGCCTTCCCAACTGACTTGCCTGCCCTCGGGTCCGTAGCTGCAGCTGTGACACAGTAATCCTTCTCCTGTAAGCATACAGTTTACTTTCACAGCACCTATACTTTACCTCTCATCATGCCTTAGACTTGGGTTTAAAATGCTCACTTCCTCTGGGACTAGACTTGACCCCTAGACCGTTCTCTCTCATACTGAAGTGAGTCTAGTTCAGACCTTTTCTTTCACCTGTCTCTAAATACCTTGTGTCCAAACGGACCTTTCCCCCTAGTGTTTACCTGGGTAAGGAGGTGGTCTTGGGACATTCCAAAAGGGTGTGTGTAGTGTGTGTCTGTGTGCATGTGTGTAGGAGTGGAAGTTTAGCCTTGTATTAGAGTAAAGTAAGATAAATTTACCTACCCAATATCCTTTTCAGTTAGCATATTCATTCTTAAACTCATCTCAGTAATTTGCATTTGTTTGCTTCATACCTTATAACAGGTTAAAAGTGCCTATGACAAGGACTTAATTATTTCCTAAAGAAAAGCAAAAAACATGGGGAACAGGGTAGTGTTACACTGTCATCTCAGGTACTGCCTGTGTTCAGGAGCATAGACCTGGGAGGATGAGAGCAGATGCTTCCTGTGCTGAGTCCAGATGCATTGTCATCACTGGCGGCCATGAGTGTGTGTGACTGAAAGGCTGCCTCAGCTGTGAAACCCCATGGGAGATGGTGCTAAGGAAGCGCTAAGTGACATTTCCTCCCTCTGGGTCTTGTGGCCACACTTTCTTCAGGTTCCTATCAGCTGATCTTGTTACCATCCTATCCCTGTGGGCAGCTGGTGGAAGAAGCCTCTAAGTACGTGGCGTGGAGCAGGTGTTCCTGGGCTTTTTACCAGTTAGTGAAGTGCCTATGTAACTTGGATTCGTCACTGCTCCAGGCTTACAGCTTGTGTTGTCCCTTACAGAGAGGAAGGTACTCTCATCTGACTGACCACAGGACACAGAAGAACTCGGAATCTTGGGGACTTGGAGAGAGCAGCTAGGGGAGGGGCAGGTAAAAAAGGAACCAATAAGGAAAATGACCTACAGGTATAGATCTTAAGGAGGAAGCATACTTCTTGAGAGGATAAAAGGAGCCGACAATAAGTTCCCATTCCAGAGTGAGTTATGGGGAAGACGTTGCCCCCTCACTTGGGGCCCACAGCCCTTGGAAAGGTGTTGCTCTCAAGTCAGGTGCTGAGTCCCAGAGAGAGCCGGTGCTGAGTGTCTCACAGTCTGTGCCTACTCAGGGAAATGGCTTAGGTTCTCCCAGGTGCTGCGTAGATGTGAGTGGAAGCGGAGCTGCTTTGGGAGACAAACTTGTAAGAATTTTTATATATGCATTGAAGTAAATCTAAAAGAGCCTCGTTAACAGTTTCCTCTAATGCCAGTTCAGATTTAAAGGTTTACTGCCTGAGCATCCACAGGGAACAGAATTCCCCCTGCAGATAAGTGAGTGGATGAGAGCTGATGAGAGCAACAGCCAGAGTGTAGGGTAAAGCCCTCCGAGAGCAGCAGCAGGGTCTTCAGGAGCACACAGTGAGCCCTAGTTTGTCAGTGAGCTTAATAAATTGAAAGTGAATGTCTTGCCTTTAAAAACTAACACCAGGATGGGGTAGCTGGGAGGGGAGATGGCAAGGAAACCAGTAATAACATGCTTTTGAGCTATATGAATGTTAATAAAATACCCCAAACAGGTATTGTAGAGGCTGGGGGAAAGAGATGTGACGGGATTATACAGATGATACATACTTTTGTGTCAAGACTCAAACAATGTGCTACAAATGTGATACTTAACCCTGAACTGCATGTATTGGGGATTGTTTAAAAAAAAAAAAAAAAAAAAAACACAAAACTTTGAATCAATAAATTAACAGTTTTTCACTTGCTGGCTCTTGGTGTAAATGGTAACTTAAATTTGGGACAGAAACCTTGACATCCAGTGGAAAGCTTGGATAATCTTCAAGAACCCTGGAGCCTTCTGTTTGCAGAAAAGCAACACTGCTGGGGTTATGATCCTTACATGTGACTGCTTCAGATACAGTGGGCCACCTGTATGTATCCCTGGATGACTGATACGCGATTCGTGTGCTGCTGCCCCTAGAAGGAAAAAGAATGCCATGTTAATCTTGTTTTCCTAAATAAAAATGTTGACAGTGCCTAGCCTTCCTAAGTGGGAGATGAACCATTGCTATGAGGACCTTAACTTGTATTTCCTGTCTCTTGGGGGGCGCAGGGGGGATAAATCATGAACTGCAAAGATATATGTGGTGGCTGTAAGTCATCCATCGCCTTGGTGTGAAGACTAGCGCAGGTAGGATTGGAAGTGTCATGGTGGAATGGTGCTTTTTTATGCCATGTACCACTGAAACACCTGCTTCTTGGGGTTGATACGTTTTGTCGTATGACTTCAACTTTATAGCCCAGCACTTTGCCTTTTGTGAAGACTTCTTCCCACTGCCGCTCTGCGACATGAGGGCACATGCTGTTTGGCAGATGGTGTATTCAGTGTGCTTTTTTTGTTTCTCACATCCGTCACTAGAATTGGACCCTTGGGAATCAGGTGAAGTTATTAAAGACAAATATGGACATTTCTTACCATGCACATGCGACCTTTTCAAATACTAAGCAGTGGACCTCTTCCTTTTCCCAAAGAAAATTTTTATGAAATGACTGTGTGGCAGCTTCCCAGGTGACACATACTTTCAGCATTACAGTGGTGTCCCGGGAGAGGCTTGTAGCAGTCTGCATCTGACATCTCCCCACCTACTTTCCTGTGCTGAATATGGAAGGAAGGTGAGGTTTTCAGCCATGAGCAGCCACAGACAGCTGTTTCCAAGAGAGGGTTAAATATATTTGAACTTATTTGTTGCTCTTTATTAATGGGCTTGGCCTTTTTGCTGAAGAAATACAAAGTCTTCTGGTTCTTTGGCCCCAGATGTCCTCAGTACATCAGGTCAGGTTTGAAGGGGATCCAGAATTGGACTGCTGAACCTGTGACTTGGCTTATGTGGAAGCGTCACAAGGCTTTGAGGCTATCCACCAGCATCCTGCATCCAAGAGACAGGGTCATTAATGCTGTCGTGAAGGTTCCTGTTCTCTCCAGAAGGCTGGACTATAAGCTGCCTTCATTATGGTCAGAGCAGGGCGAGGTCAGTCAAACCAGAGGTCTTAACAGCAGTCCTCACTAGGTGTTCCCAGAGTGGCATGAGAAAGGCAAGCTGGCATTCTAACCCCGGCCCTCTTCAAGAGAAGGAAGCCCCACACAGGCAGAGGCCTGCCCCTCACTCTGGCTCAGATTGATTAATGCCGTCTTTCCCCTCCTCCCATCTCTCTCCAGGTCTGTTGCGGTTCCTCCCACTTTTCCATAAGCAGAACAAGAACCAAATCAAACGTCTTAACGTGTGTAGAGAGATCACGTTCCGTGAGCAGACACAAAACGGTGGCAGGTTTGGTGAGCATGAACTAGACCAACTGAAGGGCAGCCCACTACGTGTACCAAACCTCACTTCCGAATGTAAAAGGTTCATATGCCTTTGGCTTCCTGTTGACTTCCTCCTGACCCAGAAAGCATGGGAATGTGAAGGGTATGCAAATGGTTGTTGGTTACTGTTGCTCCCTGCATCCCTTGACTGGTCAGTGGCCACCTGTTTTTCCAACAAACCACGTTGACTAGTTGACCAGACTCAATTGGGGGTAAGGGGGTGACATATAGCATGATGGGCAGTTACATATTATTTTAAAAGTATATATTATGAATAAAAGGTTTTAAAAGAAATGTATGGAGAGTTTTCAGTATGGAAGGGGCCATTAAGTGAAACCTGTGGCCACAGAGGACTGAGTGACCCAGAAGCACCAAGTCTGAGCCAGAAGAAAGCAGGTGAGGAGGGCCAATGTGAAGGAGCTGTCTGCAGAAGTGAGGTGTGCAAAGGTGGTGAGTGAGTGGGGCAAACAGCGGAGAGCTCAAGTACTCTGTGGCCCAGGAAGCCAGACCTCACCTTGGCCACGTGTCCATCAGTTGCCTCTCTTTGAGTCAGGTATGGTGGCCCAGCAATTGTTGATAAATGCCACCGCTAGTAAGCTCAGGAAAGATCCCTTAGCCCTTTGCTATCCCTTTGCTCTTGTTGCAACATTTTATCCAACTCCTGATGCCGCCTCCCAACACTTCTGTGAACTGTCCTGGAGGTCCGTGGAGTCTACCAACCCACAGCAGGGGCGGGACTCACGTCTGAGGGTTGCCACCAATCGTACTGTGACGGTCCCAGGAACTGGAAGGAAAAGTGGCTGCGGCAGAAGCAATACTTGTATTTGTTGAAACAAAGCCAGCTTTATAAATGAGGCTTCACCAGCTTCCTCACCTCCCAGGAAAGCTGTCTAGGAAAAGTAGAACTGGCAGTCACCACCTGTGGGCAGATCCGGATGCCCTAGAGGCTGCTTGGAGCCCCAGCCCGGTCTCCATGAAGGCCACCTATCCTCCATAACACTCCTCCTCTCTCTGCTCCTTGTTCTGAACACTGAACCGAAGCATGGACACTCAGTTTTGGAGTGATGATAGGGGACAGAGAGGCATCTTGGATCTTCGTGTCCTTTGGAGCGGCTTCTCTTGGATCTGAGTAGCTCGGGTATGGGATC